CAAAATAACCACACGACAGATCAAGAAATATCAGATTCACAACAAACTACCTTATCAATAATTGAATCGACATACCAGATTGCTAACATGAGCAATTTAAATTTGGATCATGAGAAGCTGAGTGATGAAGTAGGAAAAACCTTAGCTGAAACTCTACGTATAAATCCCACCTTAAAATATTTAGATTTAAGTTCGAAAAATCTATTTAATGGTGCAGGTCAAGCAATAGCTAAGGCATTATGCAATAATAGCACACTTACTGGTTTGAATTTGGAAAACAATTATCTTGGCGATGAAGCAGTAAAAGCATTAGCAATGACTCTATATAGGAACACTACACTTATTCGTTTAAATTTAAGCAGTAATCGATTTAGTAATAAAACTGTAAAAACACTGGCTGGAGCATTATGCAAGAATATCTCCTTATCTTATTTAAAATTGCATAATAATAAACTAGGTGAATTAGGTGGAAAAGAATTGGCTAATGTTTTATGCAGAAATAAAACTTTAACTTATTTATATTTAAATCGGAATAATCTTGGTGAATCAGCAGGAAGAGCACTGGCTGAAGCATTATACAAAAATACCACCTTAACTAATTTAGATTTAAGTGATAATAAGCTAGGTGAATCGGTAGGCATAGCATTGGCTAAAGCTTTATGTAAAAATACGACCTTAACTAATTTAGATTTAGGTGATAATAAACTCGGTGAATTAGGAGGGAAGGCATTGGCTGATGCTTTATGCAAAAATACCACCTTAACTAGTTTAAATTTAGGTGATAATAGACTCTGTGACTCAGGAGGGAAGGCATTGGCTGATGCTTTATACAAAAATTCCTCATTAACCGATTTAAATTTATGCCATAATAATCTGGGTAAATTTACGGGCAAAGCACTAGCTGAAGCTTTATGCAAAAATATCACTTTAACTAATTTAAACTTAAGTGATAATATTCTATGTGAATCAGGTGGTGATGCACTGGCTAAAGCTTTACGTCAAAATAACACCCTAACTAATTTAAATTTGAGTGATAATAATCTAAGTGAATTGGGAGTAAAAGCGCTGGCTGATGCTTTATCCAAAAATACAATCTTAACTAATTTAAATTTAAGTAAAAATAGTTTATATGGATCAGGAGGAAAAGCACTTGCTGATACTTTGTGCAAAAACATCGCCTTAACTAATTTAGATTTAAGTTGGAATAATCTTGGTGAATCAGGGGGAAAGGCAGTAGCCAATTCTTTATCCAAAAATACTGTCTTAATTAACTTAAATTTAAGTCATAATAGACTATGTGAATCAGGAGGAAAGGCATTAGCTGAAGCTTTGTGCAAAAATGTAACTTTAACCAATTTAAATTTAAGCGATAATAGACTAGGTAAATTAGGAGGAATAGCATTAACTGAAGCTTTGTACAAAAATACTTCTTTAAAAAATTTAAATTTAAGTGGAAATTTTCTAGAAAAATTAGCAGGAAAAGCATTGGATAATGCAAGAATAGTTAAATATTAGAATTAAAAAATTAAATAAAATTGTTTTTTTTAATGATAATCTAATTCTTTATATTTACATTTAGGTGCTATAATTGTGATTATTTTTTATTTAATTATAACTAATATATTTTTTGCGTTGTTTACGCGAAGTTTTTAAAAATCAACGACTAAAATAATTTGCTATTATAATAAAAGTAAAAATGATACATGAGTTGCTTGAGTAAATTTTTAAATTATTTATATGTTTAACAATATTAGTGTTTAAATAACTTTATTATATAATCATGCAGTATAACAATCCTCTAATTTTTTGCTTAGAGTATCAATAAAAACACTAGATTATGAATAACTCTTAAGCTGAAATCATTTCACACAACCGCCAATATCTTGTTCCTATTTTCTATGTTATATCGAATAATCATAACATATTTTCACCTTAGTTACGTTACTATATTTATTTGATTCTTAACTATAATGCAAATAGTTTTTACATTTACTGTAATAAAATGAAATTACCTTATCTAGTTAAATTTATGGGGTATTGATAGATATTTTTGCTGAAATAAATTCGATGAACCGGTAGAAAAAGCATTGGCTGAAGTTATTTCAAAGATTTTACTTTAACTAATTTTGGTTTAAGTGGTGTTAAATCTTCGATTAGCAGAAAAACACAGCTGAAGCTTTATGCAATGTACTACCTTAACTAACTTAGTCTAAAATCATATTGACTTTGGTGAATCAGCAGTAAAAGTGCTTGCTAAAGTCTCATACAAAATTACACCTTAATTAATTTAGATTTAAGCAGTATTCATCTAGAAAAGTCAGCAAAAAAAAAACACTGACTGAATATTTATGCAAAAATACAACCTTAGCTAATTTAAATTTAATTTGAAATAAGCTTAGTAAAAAGCAATAACTGATGTTTTATGCAAAAATATAATCTTAACTAATTTAGATTTAAGTTTGAATTATCTTGATGAAACAGCAGAAAAGGCGTTGGCCGAAGCTTTATGTAAAAATACCACCTTAGTTAATTTGGATTGCGCAATAATAAGATGGGTAAATTGACAAAGAAGACGCCAGACAAAAAACAAAAATAATGGTTTGGTTATAAATTTTTGAAAATTTTATTATAAATAAATATAAACAATTTTTTTTGTGTAAATAAATTGAAACACTACATTCTTTTGCCAAATAATTTATTAATAACTAACTGCCGTCTGCCATCTATATAGCGATTGAAGTTGATCGACTAAATGCAAATCGGATAGGTCATCGACTACATCGGCTGGACCGACCGACTACTAGCAATACTGATACTGTAATGGATTTGTGTAAAACCTTCGAATACCAGCAAAGATGGGCCACGCTGAGGAGATATGTGATGCTGGAAATTGTTATAAAAATGGAATTGGAGTTGAAAAGGAACATATAATGTTGGACTTTGTTATGATCAAAGAATTGGGGTCATATTCGAGGGGTACATGTAGTGATGTGCCGCGTACAGTACAGTACGCAAAAAAAATTTAGAATAGTCTAGAACAAATCATTAAAGTATCCCTATCTCAAAATTTTGATTATGAAACTGTCTTTCGCATTCTAACAAAAATTATTCCTTGCACAATGTTGCATATAATTGATTTATAAATGGTACATCTATTATGTGTATTACGTATGCTATACACACTATACAACTATACGTACAGTTGCCTCCGAAAGTTTAGGACGGTTACACAAGAAACATAAAAAGCATAATACAAATTTACAAATACCGATATGTATACAAATCAGCGATACGTATTAATATATTGCGCAAATTAAACACTATTACAATGTTAATGCATGATTATACAGCACACAGTATATCGATATAAGTTAAATCTTAGTATTTACAACCATAACAGTCACAGGACATGTCCTCCCCGACGATCTTATTAGTAATTATTCTTCATGTAACATACGTTAACGTGACTTTTTTCGTTAATAGCTTCAATTAATAATAGCGAACAATATTTCGACCTTAGACAAGCTTTATTTTTCGAGATTTATACTTTTATTTTGTACCAAAAATATTTGTATTATTTTAATATTAATAAAATAAAATCAGACTTAAATCTTGCAATTTTTTAACGCAAATGTTGAGATTTTCTTTCAAGTATTGTAAATTAAGGCTAGCTTCGTTTTGCTAATAGTAACAAATAAAAAGCTCTACAAATCTCATTATTAGTGCAAGGGCACTTTAGTTGCGGCTTTTAGGCATTTACTATGAAGTGCTTTTTCATAAGGTAAATTAAAGCATTAATTTGGATCTGTTTTCGCATGATTTTAACTAAATTAGAATACTTACTGTATAGTGTTGCCTATAGTACTCTGATCTTATTCAGAATAGCTTGAATAGTACCCAGGAATACTTGTGTAAGAAGGGGGTACTATACAAGGAGAAAATGCTATAGATCGTAATCACATTATATTTAATAATATGGCTTATGGGGTACTATTTAAAAAATATTGGCATTTGCAGTTGAATAGTAAGTATTTCGGTACTGTACGAGGAAGATACTTTATTAAGCGGTACTGTAGGTAGCACTATATGGCATACATGACAAAATATTTAAAAAATTTAAAGATTGATCTTTGAAGTTTTTTTATTTTTTATTTTTTAAATAAATTTTAGATGAATTATAAGACCCACATGAAAATTTAAAATACTGAATTCTAGATAAGTTATGTATAATAATTTAATGCTAATTTATTTTTGAATACTCTTGTTATTTCTTCAGTACTGCTTAACTCTTTTTTCTGTCCAATCTGAGGAGATGGTAAGAAGTTCAGATAATACCTTCTTAATTTTATTTTCAGATGCTATATCACTATCTCCAAGTTTAAAGAGTTGTGCAAGGATTGTTTTTTCTGCTTCTGTGGTGATGCAGCATGAATATTTAAAAGGATTGGTTGCAGAAGATGATAGTGATAATGTTTGCTGCAATATTAATGTATCCTGTTGATCAATTGATTCTTGAATAGAGTTGTCTATTTGATTGTCTATTTGGTGACATTTTTGTTTTGTTTTTGTTTTTTCATATCATCAAGCTTTGCAACAGTATAATAATTTATATTTCGTACATGACATTTGGAAGTCTGGCACTTAGTTTTGTATACATCCTCTTCAAGCATCTCTTGAAAACACAACTTTTCTGTTTCATAGAAAGAAAGTAGATTTTCAATACCTTCTTTACTAAATTCTGGTACATCTTCAAACAAATAATATGTTGTAGGATTTGGATGATCAAAGGTTGATAACAGATTTGCAACTAGAGACCAGAATGAATCTTTATGTGACTTGATTGCACGAGTATTTTGGTTTATCACAATATCATCAACTTATTCTGCAAGAAGCATTGATAGATGATCTCTCTTACTCTGGATTACTTTAATCTTCAACATCATGGTCTCTTGGATGGTGATATTATTAGTTATATTTTGTTTGACGAATTTTACTCTGTATGTTTCAAGCACTTCATCAAAATCAAAATAATGTCCTTCGCTTGTAAGGTTTACTGAACATACTATTTGTAATAATTTTTATAACTGTAAATCATCATGAACTTGAGCTAAAAAGTGTGCAATAGAACTTGCATATTTAGACTTTCTGGCTGCAGGAAATAGAGGTACAAATGCAGCTAAATTTGCTAATTGCATTTGGTAGTTTTTTCTTCTAATTCCGATTTTATGATCTATAAAATATTCTGTCCAGCAGAAAAAAAGATACCACATCTTTATTAGGTAATTATTATTACATAAAATATCATTCATTGTTTTTTTCTCTTTTTTGACATGCTGACACAACATGATCCCCACTACCACTCAGACCAATTCTAAAACACGACAAGTCACTCAGTAATCTACTACATGTTCAAATTTTTTTAGGTATTTTACTTCAAGAGTTGCCGCAAGGTTGAATAATCCATATTCAGAAAATATTATAATTAAAGTGCTGCACATATCTTTAGATATGTGCCACTGTTTCAAAAGAAGTTAAATGTCATTGTGAGTTTCTTTATAAAAAACTAGTCTTTTAAAAATTGCTTGATCATATGCAATATATAAATGTTCATCGCAACTATGAGGTAATTCATCATGATACATTTCACATACCTCATGGACATTATCATTACAATTGGGCAGATCACTAGGTTTCAATATCACAATTCTTGGTAATAAAATATTACAACCTAGAGGTATTTGTTTGCTGATTTCAGAGTACATGTCTTTCATTTCAAGTTTATCTACATGATTCTCTAACATTTTATTCAAAGTATTTTCATATATTATTAACAGATCGTTAGTAGTTGAGGACTCTCAAACAGCGGTTGGTTAATAAATTCATAATTTTTAACTAGATAGTTAAGCAAGGTAGAAAGAATAAACTAAAATACCATTCGTAATGTTGCATATGAAGTTTGTTGTTCAATGTTAAAAATATTTCCATATGAGAACATAGAAGCTTTAAAATTGATATTATCAATTACTGTCAAATTTCAAATGTTTGGACCTTCAATTAAATTGTTCCTAGGATTTATATATGTATTTTTAAGTTTTCAAGATGACTTTCATGCCTTTTAGTATATGAAATAATGAATGCTGAATGAAGAATTTCTCATAGATATGGCAATAATTTTGAATTTTGGCATATTGATGATATAATATTTGTAAGCCATATCTTCACTCCAGAAAAAGCAATAGTAAGTAGCATTGAAGTTAGTAAAGTAGTAGTTTTTGTTATCTGGTTTGTATCATGCAATTTTAAGGGAAGTCCACGCTGAAGTTTCTTACTATTAATGATTTTTTGTTTATATTCTTGCAACACCATAAGAAGAGCTTGAAAAAAGATATGAATAATATTAAACAATGCATTAAAGTAGTTTTTATATGAGCTTCAGTTTTCTAACTGGCTTTTATTCTCTTTAACTTCAGGATGTAAATATAAAATTTCTTTGCCTAATTTTTCTCCTATTGTTGAAGCTTTTTTCAAAGTTATGTAAGGCCTTTCTTGAATTAACCTATTTAATTCAATTTTTTTTATTGTTCTCACTATTTTAACAATTAATTTACTCGGAGGTTTGCCTTTTCTGTTTTAAATAAATTTTTGTTCATTGTTTCATCATTAAAGATAGCTAATGCTAAGAATATTTAAAATAGAAGTTTTTCTTGCAGTTCATGATCATCTGAATCTGCTACTAATAATAGCCATTTCTCAATAAGCTTTAGAGCATCACTAGCATCATCTTAGTGTTTTCCAAGTTTACAGAATTGAAATTTTTTGTAGTGGGGTTTTTCATAAAGATGTCCACTATTTTGTTAAAAGCATTCTAAACAAATGTAACATGCACGATATCTAGATAATAACTCTTTGGTAATATGTTCCTTGGAAAATGCAGAACAGTCATGAACACCAATACAAGGTACCTGAATATTTCGCTCATTGACTTTTCATGAATGCTGTGTACAACAGTTGCCACGACTAAAAAAACACTTTTTTTTATTACAAAAAAGGCAAATACAAAAATGGACAATGCTTTTAGCAATCGAACATGACTTTTTCATGCCTGGTTCGTGAAGTTGGTTCTGATTAAATAGAAAATGAGTATAGCATACACCAAGTCGATCAAGTGTATTTGCTTCTCCCTCTCATGTCTTTGCCACTTGTTGCAATCATCATAAATTTGTTGTGCTATTGCCTTGAATATTTTCAACTGCATGTGCATCTATTTTCCTTGTTCCTATTATTTGCTGCAATCGCCACAGATTTGTAGTGCTATTACAGTGCTTTACTTCACTATTAATGTAATCTATAATTACACATGGTGTTAAATTTTGAATTTTTGTTGGGGTCTCTTTAATTTCTACATCCATTTCATCATCCATTGTTGGGAAGAATTCTTCAAGGAGATCAGCATTTACAGATTCAATCTCATCCAAGTCAATGTATTCACATTCATCATGTATTAAAGCTCAGGCATTTTCAAAAATCAATAAATGAATGGTAAAAGCTTCATTATAATTTTTCTTCTAAGAAATCGAATTCCTCCAAGTAAGTAGATTAAAATCAGTCATTTTGTTTAATAAAATATATTTTATAGAAATTTATAAAATAAAAATATAATTTATTTAATAGAAATATTTCAAG